TATGCAGACGAGGAAAAGGGGGGAAAGGATCTTTCTCCGTGCAGAATTTTTTAAGATATAAGGAGATCGATCGGTTTTTCTCGGCCGAGCAGATAGATTCTAGAGTAATCCTTGGATTAGGTCGATGACCGTGTTCGCCGAAACAAACGTGGACGTCGACCTGCGTATGCTACGTTCCTTCAGGGTCCTCAGACCGCTAAAGCTGGTTTCGAAAATTCCAAGTGAGTCAGTCACAGTTCTGCGAAACGGCAAACGATTATACTAAAACGCCATTTAAGTAAACAGTAACAGAGTTCAGTAACAGAGAACAGTCGAGCAAGCAGATTTTTTAATTATTTATAAACTAACTAACTAACTAAAACCCCGTTGTTCCTGGCAGTTTGTGTGCGTTCGACTAGTCTCCTTAGTTTTTTTTCTTTTTTTCTTCCTCTTCTTTTTTTCTAAACGTTTAATTAAACCAGACACACTTAGTTTCCTCGTCGACCATTTAGTTTTTCTGTCAATTATTCTTTCTCTCTCTCTCTCTTTCTTTCTCTCTCTTTCTCTCTATCGCTATCTCTATCACTGTCTCTATCTGTCCATGTCTATCTATCTATCTCTTTCTTTCTCTCTCTCTCTCTCTCTCTTTCTCTTTCTGTCTCTTTTGCTTTAGTTGACACGTTGGGTCGACGTTTAGTTCTGGCAAGCGAGATTCAGCATCAGCTAAGTTACAATAACTGCGTATAATACTTAAACACTTGTTTTATATACGTTCGTCTTTCTTAACCACAGATAGTTCTCTTCTCCTTTTTTTTTTTTTTTTTTTCTTTAGTTTTCCTTGTTTAGTTATTCCCGATTAAACACGTTTTTTTTTCTTTCTTTCTTTTTCTTTTTCTCACGTTTTTTCAATCGTTCGTTACGTTATAATACAAGATTTTTCGTTTATTCTTTTATCCGTTTTGATTGACCACCACTTAGAGGCTATGGGTGTATTAGAAACAGTTGATTGACGCTAGATGATCGTTGATGGCAGTTTGATGATCGATATTAATTGAATACATAATATCTATATACATATATATATATACATATATTCTGTGTCCACGTGGTTTGCGTAATTCAAGTGTTTTATATACGTTATATTATATATTATACGTATTATTATTATTATTATTATTATCATTATTATTATTATTATTATTATTATTATTATCATTATCATTACTCTATTGTCTCTGTATAGAGAAATTGCGTGACCTAGCAGCTAGTGTTATATTGCGTTACTACATGCTCTATCTTCTGTCGTGTTATGTTCAGTTTTGTGCACACGTTATTTCGTACTTTTTAGAAAGTTTTTCAAAGTCGACGAATTAGACACACGCACACACACATATATACACACGTACACGTGCATATATATATATATATATATATATATTTATACACACATATGTTTGTACACGGAACACGGTACGGGCACGTCGGTCGAATCCTCGACGAAATCTTTGGCTTTTCATTAGGGGATGAAAAAGTTGTCGAACGCGTCCTGAATTTCTCGCTACTGCGATGCTACTACTCTCTATCGCAGCGGTTCTCAACTTGTGCTGCATTCATTGGTAAAATTGATATAATATTCCAATCAAAATTTTATTATATATCAAAGATTTTTTCTTTTTTTTTTTTCAATTTACTAATTTACTAATTTACAAGATTGATTTCACTTTGAATTATATTTCAAGGGGAGTTTAAATAAATTTGTTTCTTTCCAATGTTTCTCAGAAATATTAATTTTTTGATCGAATTCTTGAAATTAAAAAGAAAAGAAATTGGAATTTTAAATTCTTACGTACAATGATATCTTGATAAATATTTTTGAAAATTGAAAGAGGATTAAATTTTGAATTTCTATCTAAACAAAATAATTTTTGAATTGAGATAATAAAAAATTTCCAAGAAAGAGTTGAGAACCGTGTATCGCAGAGTACCTTTAATTCGCCGTTCAAATTTTTTTCCATACGCTACTCACGTAGTCCGCCACGTCGGGTGTATTGAAAATTTCGAGAAAATATTTCGCTCGCGATAAAACGCGTTGAAACGGGGCGGAAATAAAAGGAGCGTGATATTTTTGAAGAAAAAAAAAAAAAAAAAAAAAAAAATT